CCCCCCCCCCAAATGGGGTAAGAAGATAACATCTGAAATGTAAATAAAATATCCAATAAACATTTTTTTTAAAAAAAATAAGAATGTGTATTACAAGGGAGAGAAAATACAACTGCTTTTCACTAAAGGAGCAATTTAATCATGATGATGAACTACATCTTCTGGAAGCTTTGAAAGTGTCTTGGAAAATATTATTCCTATGAACCTTTACTGTATAAAAAAAAAATGAGCTTCACACAACCAAGCAATTGAAAACATCACAAGTAACTTTCACTCCGTCACAAAAAAAAAAAAAATGTGGCAAAAAATAAAAGCATAAAGTCAGAGCCAACTTGCATGGCAGTTTAGAGAAGACCTTCATCCAACCATAACATTCCTGAAATACATGGGCTAGAATTGTACCCTAGGCTGGGACTTGGGAAAAGACTGCTCTGGAAGGCAAGACTTCACTTCCCTCCCACCTTGTTTGATACCCTGAGCCACCATGGAAAGAAACCCAGGTTAGCATTCTTGAGAGAGAGAGGCCAGATGTACAAAGAGCTCCTGTCATATTAGCACCATATGGGAAGCCCAGGGCCTTGGTTCCAGACACATGAAAAAGGTGAAAGAGTGATCACTGCAAATCTTAGAACAGTCATTGGCTGAATGCAACTACGTGAGTGGTTCCAGTTGACCAGAGGTGTATCAAAGGCAAGCTTAGCCCTGTACAATTCCCAGCTCAAACTGTGCATGGTAAGTGGAGGTTATCTGTAGGCACTAAGTTTGTCGGTGTTAACTAAGAAAATATGACAAAACTGTCACTCTACCCATGCTAGCCCTGGGCTAAGATGCCTTACATGTTTGGCTTTTATTGTGAAGGAGAACACCTGTCAACAAGTTTGGAATACAAACTAGATAATTTAACTGAGAGAAAGGCTTATTCTAGATCAGTTTAGCCACCACAACACAGCCACCAGACAATGGAATGAAGCTATTTTAATCCAACTCATGGCTGAAGACAGTCATGTGAGTGACCCCCAACCAGTAACTCATAGAAGACCATTCAGCTAAGTCCATAGACTAGAGAGAAATAAATGATTTTTTTGCACCATTAATGTATTACATAGTATAAAGTAAGTGTTGATCTGTTTCTACCCAAAGATGTCAACTATCACTCTAGAGTTCGCTTTAGCATTGCTGGCAGCAAGGTTCTGTTGCTGTTTTCTCCGTTTTCATTTCAGTTTTGAAAATTTATATTGGGCTGCCAGGTTTTTTTTCTCTTTCAGCTCTTTAAACATTCCCTTGGACTTTTAGTCTCATTTCTGATAAGATTAAACTTTAACTGTCTTGCTGATCGGCGGTGTTTTGCTTGTCTCTGGTTGCGTTCATTTTTCTCCTCAGTTGATTATTGATCGGCAGTGGTTTACTGATCTATGTGTGATTTTTTTATTAGACTTTATATACACTGAGTCTCCTAGACACATCATTTGTTTGCTTGGAGAATTTTTTAAACATTTTTTTTTGCATCCAATAAATGTCCATTCAATTATTTCTGGCTTTCAAACACTTTGGAGACTCTTAATTATATATTTGTAATACCACTTAGTATTAAGAGATTGTAATAGAATTTCTTTTTTTTTCTTTTTTTGATTATTTATTTATTTATTGTATATGAGTACACTGTCGCTGTCTTCAGACACACCAGAAGAGGGCATCAGATGCCTTTACAGATGGTTGTGAGCCATCATGTGGTTGCTGGGAATTGAACTCAGGGCCTCTGGAAGAGCAGTCAATGCTCTTAACCTCTAAGCCATCTCTCCAGCCCCTGTAATAGAATTCCTGCTTGTTTTTTTTTCTTTCTGATATTAGACATGATAATTCCTGTTAACCTACCTTCAAATTAACTCTTTGTTGGTTGGCAGTGTAAAATCTTCTGATAGCCTATTTCCTTATTTTTCACTTAAAATACTGTTTCTTTTTTAAAAATTATTTATGTTTTATGTGTATTGGTGTTATATCAGCATGTATGTCTGTAAGAGGGTTACAGACAGTTGTGAGCTGCCACAGGGTTGTTGGGATTTGAACCCTGATCATTTGGAAGAACATTCTGTGCTCTTAACCACTGAGCCATCTCTCCAGTCCCCAAATAATACATTTCCTATTTCTTAGAATTTTTTTCAAAAAAAGTTTTCACTTCCATATCAGTATAACCTATTTGTTCATTATAACTGCTTCCCTCTAATTCGTTGGAGTAATTTAACTTCTTTTTTGAGACAGAGTCTTGCTCTGGAGCTCTGGCTGTCCTGGAAGTCACTGTAAAGATCAGGCTATCCTTAGACTCACAGAGATCCACCTGCATCTGTCTCTCAAGTGTTGAGATCAAGGGTGTGGGCCACTACTTCCAGTTTATGAAGGAATTTAAATTTTATTTCAGCTAATTCTAAAATGTAGATCATCCCAAAGATGTCTTATTATTCATGGCTTTTTTTCTTTTAAAATTCCATTTTTCTAATTATTTACAATCTGATAAAGTTTATTTCTTTTGTGAACATTTATAGATTATAGGAAGTTTTGTATTGTCTTTTCCTTTTCTTTTTTTTTCTTTTTTGATTCAAGAAAGTTTTATTTTCCCAAATGTACAGCTGATTGAACCTGTTCATGCATCTTTACCAGCATCTGGGGCGTCTCCACCCTTTGTGTTTCTGGTGTAAATTCCTTGGGCTCTGTGCTTTGAAACCAGCTTGATAATTCCTTTACTAAGTAGCTCCTGATGGTCTGCCCTGGCCAGGGAACCTGGAATCTTCAGTCCCTCAGAGACCACAGCTGGAGTACTAAGCTTGTAGTTGGGAACTTCCTTACAGAGTTTGTCAAACAGGATGAGATTGATCAGCTTGTCCTGAACTTTGTCTTTGGACCACTTCTTCTTTTTGCCCTTGCCACCAGATTTATTTACTGGGTCTTTGTCTTTTTTGGCTGAATTTCTGGCATCTTTCTTCTTCTTGTCATCTTTGGGCGGCATAGCGAAGCTCAGAGAGTAGTGTGGACCACTGCAGTCTCACTAAAATGTCAGAGGTTTGGGAGGAGGTATTGTCTTTTTCTAAAGGAGATTGTTAAAAGATTCTAAAGGCTAAGGTTAATTCTCAATCTGATTACATTAAAATGCCTAGTCAGGGAGTATCTGATGGTATTTCCAGAGACAGACCATTAAGGCTTTCAACTAATCAGTGGAATGATTCCTTAATGGACTTCTCGTCTTATCATACTGAAAAGTAGGATGCAGGGCCCAGTGGTAGAAGCCATCTCACCAGCCCCTAGAGTTAAATTTTAGTCATCATTTTCTAGTGCTATGGCCATATTTAAATATGCCTAATCAGAACTGAGATATGTTACAAAGTTAAAGTAAATTTTGGAATTCAGAGACTTCATATGAAGAAAAGGGTGTAAAATAGTTCATTAATAGTTTTACATTTATTACAGGTTGAAATAACTCTTTGGGTAGATTGTGTTAAATAAAACCAACCTGCTCTATCACAGTTAACCTGCTGCAGCAGCAGGCAGTGGTAATACAAGGCAGGACAGAAGATTCTACAGCCTATAGGAATTCATTTTGTCAGACTTCAGTAACTTGATAGCTATCTGCTTTTGTTGAGACTCTGATAGGTTAAGGTTAGTCTTGGGGGGAGGGTGTCCAACTGTATTATTCGATCTTTCTCCATTGGGTTTTGCAGAAATTGTTTTTCTAACTATGACAAAATACTTGAGAAGTGGGGCTGGAGGGGCATGGCTGGAGGGGTGTGGCTGGAAGGATGGCTCAGAAGTTAAGGTCACTTGCTGCTCTTCCAGAGCAGAAGAATCTGGATCCCAGCACCCACACTGGGTGGCTCATAACCACCTCTAAGTTCAATTCCAGAAGATGGAACATGCGCCCTCTTCAGGCCTCCAGAAGCATTGCATGCACGTGGTAAACATACCCACACATATACAACACAGAGATAAATAAAATGTTAAGAAAAAAGAAAAACAACAAAGGCAACTTAAGGAGGAAAGAACTTCTTTTGGGCTCACAGTTTGATGGCACGGTCCATTTTGCTGGGGAATGTGTGTTGGTAAGAGTGTAAGGTCGCTGCTCACATCTGGTCAGTGGTCTGAAATCACAGAAAGATATGTTCTGGCTTGCTTTCTGTTTATTCAGTCCAGGACCCCAACCTGTAAAATAGTGCTATCCATGTTCAGGGTGGGTCTGTTAAATTCTGGAGATATCCTCATATCCAGAAGTGTATTTCTGTGGCAATTCTAACTCTCATCAAGTTGACAGTCAAGATTAACCATCACAAACTCCTTGAACATCCCCCAAAGTACTGACAGTGACCAGTCACAGGAAGCCCAGCTTCTCCCACATCTAGTTTTCAAGTGCACTTTATACCTAGATTGCATCAGCTTACTGGAACCAGCATATCAAGCCTCCTTTATTCAGGTCATGGTTTTTGTTTTGGTATTTTTAATAGATATACTTCGTTCTTTTTCATTGGGTTGGTTTAGTTTTTTGAGACAGGATTTCTCTCTGGGCAGCCCTGGCTGTCCTGTAAGTTACTCTGTAGACCAAGCTGGCCTCAAACTCAGAGATCTGCCTGTGTCTTTGCCTCCTGAATGTTGGGATTAAAGTCATGTGCCACCACTACCTGGCAAGATGTTCTTTGTTCTTATACCCTGAGCCACATGAGGACAAGTGCCATAGAAACTATATTAACCTATTGGTGGTTCAGAGTGCACAATCACTGGAAAGGAAAGCTATTCTGTATTTACTTTTTTTTTTTTTTGAGATAGAGTCTTAGTATGTAGCCCTGGCTACCCTGCAACTGCCGGCATGAAACTCACAAAGATCTCCCTGCCCCTGCCCCTGCCCCTGCCCCTGCCCCTGCCCCTGCCCCTGTCTCATTGCTGAGATTAAAAGTGTGTACCACCATCCCCAGCCTCATTTACAGCCAATATTATCATAGCACAATCATGATCAGAGAGGGCAACCAGCTCTCCCAATAGACAAGGCACCTTTAAAGACTTGCCCTAAGGATATCCTGGTAACTGCTGTTTAGGGAAACATTTCTTCCTAGAGGGAGGCTCACGAGACTCAGAAAGTAAAGATCTTCACGTTTCTGGGAAAGCTGAAACTTCAGGATTCACAGAGGTCTCCTCCACAAGGATTTAGAGACAACACAAAGATGGAGGTGCCTGAGGGAGACTTCTCAACCCAGCAAGGTGCCTGCCGAGCATGTAGAGTCCAGAACTGCAGCTTCAAAACTCAGCGTCCATGTTTGGGAGAGCTTTCAAGCGACGAAGCTGCCTGCGGGTCATCCAGGCTACTGTAAGTGACCTCAATAAACTCATTGGTTCACCAAGATGGACTTTGATACAATTGTCCCGTTGGTTCCTATCTGAGGTTGGGTCTCTGTCTGGGGTAAATAAACATTTGTGTCTTGTCATGGCTGCCAAGGGAAAGCCTCACACAGCAGTGATACAGCACTTGCCTGTATGCTGTGCTTATACTGCTCTTTCCTGAGTCCAGGATGTTGTACCTAGACCTCCTTCTGTCTATCCTACCTCTGGACCTGACCTGCACCCGCACCTGTCAGTTCCTGGTAAAATTAGAGCCACAGCGCAGTCTGAGAAACCTAAAAAAGGAACAAAAATCTCTGTGCTCATCCAGGCAATAATACTTGAGAGGTTGGATTCAGGGAAATTTCAACCGCAGAAGTTGTTGCAGAGCAGACCCAATCGTGTAGCTGAAGCAACACAATGCATGACTGAGTGAGATGTTGTTGAAGCTCACCATGGGTTTTTAGTTTGTTTTCAAGATGAGAATCTTGCTATATGGATCAGGCTGGCCTCCTCCCTTGACCTCCCAAGTGCTTGGATTGTAGATGTGTGCCCCCAAGACCAGCACACACTGCCTTTATAAAGGACTTCCAAAGGCCAGAAGGTCACGTCAAGGTTAAGGTGAACAAGCTGGTCTACATCTGCAAAAGAAAAGGTGATGGGGAAAGGAAGAGAGAGAGGGAGGGGGAAGGAAGGAGGGAGGGAGAGAGGGAGGGAGGGAGGGAGGAAAAGAGGGAGAGAGGGAAGGAGGAATTTTCTCATGATAGGACAGAGATCTCATTAGAAGGTTTACCACTCAAATTCTACAGTGTTCTGTTCCCCAGGAAAACAAATATGAGGAACAGTGAGATAGCTCAGTAGGTAAAAACATGCATTGCAAAAACCCAATAACCATGGTTTGATCCCTGGAATCCATGGTGGAAGGAGAGAATCAGCCAACCAAAAGTTGCCCTCTGTTGATCTCTGCATACATGTGGGTGTATGCACATATAAACATGTGTGTACATATACAATATGTACATGTACAATAATAATAAAATCTTTTTAAAAAGGAAATAAAACATGAAACTTATGTAGACCATGTGAAATGATCTAGCAGTGTCTGTTACACGAGGAACATCTTCCATTGGCCAAAGCTGAAAACTCTAGAAAATAGTGTATTGACTTATATTTTACTTCAAGAAATTGCCATAGTTTTCTTTATTGATTACCTTTATTAAACCAATAAGTTTAGTTACAGGAATGGGCTTTTCTGTAATGTAAAGTTTCTCTAAATGGAAAAATAAAGATTCTGCTTTTAAATCTTAAATGATACTTAAAAATTGTGATGGAAATAAAATGGCAAAGCAGTTTTTATAGAGACACTAAACACATCTAATTACTGAGCTAAAGACTCTTGTGAAGAAAAGATGTAACACTTTAAACTTTTTTACGTATGTCTTCTAAAATTTTTAAATTATATTTGTAACTGGTAATTATATTTTTATTGGACATCCTATTCTGAGGAATCAGAAACAAGGGAAGTAGCTGGTCACATATTGAGCCTGCCTTGAGTCAGTTGAGCCTGCTGTCATTCATCCATCCCTTCAAGTATGCTGTACCACTTCATATTCTGTGGGAGTTTACATTGGAATGGACTTCCACACTAGTCCTCAAAACCTCTCATTATCCCCATATATAATGGCTCATTGCTCAATCTCTGCAAGGGCCTTATGGTTCATTTGCAATTCTATGTGCATGCACCAGCCAAAATGCAGACACCACAGGGATGTGTTTTGTCCCTTTATCTGTATCACTTGTGGTTGTATTCTACCTTCAAAAACATATCTTCTCACTGTTGGGGAGAGATGCCTCAGCAGTTAAGAGCACAAACTAATTTTGTGGAGGACCAGAGTTCAGTTCCCAGCACCTATATCAGGTGGCTCACAACTTCTGAGAACTCCAGCTTCAAGGGACTTCATGCCCTAGACTGGTCTCCACAGAAACCTGTATTTACACACACATACTCAAACACAGAGACAAACACACATACACATAATGGAAAAAAATAAACCTTTCTTTAAAATGTGTTTTCTCTTTCTCAGCTCTTGGCGTTTTTTCCTCCACAGTGCCTTTGGTCTTCCCAGCAAGCTTGGGAGGACATCCCTGGCCTTGCTGTCTTTTTGAATGAGAACAGTTTTGGGGATAACACCATTCAGACAGGTCTCCTTCATAAAGTTAGTCTGCCAAGCTTAACCTTGACCACAATTTTATAAAGATTCAGAGACATAGGAAAATTAGTGACTCATTATCTTTAACTAACTCCAAGTCCAGGCCTTCAGCTGGCTAGTCCAGGCCTTCAGTTGGCTAGTCCAGGCCTTTAGCTGGCTAGTCCAGGCCTTCAGTTGGCTAGTCCAGGCCTTCAGATGGCTAGTCCAGGCCTTCAGATGGCTAGTCCAGGCCTTCAGATGGCTAGTCCAGGCCTTCAGATGGCTAGTCTGGACCTTTGTTTGGCTAATCCAGCCTTCAGCTGCTAGACAAGGTCTTCAGATGGCTAGTCCAGGCCTTCAGATGGCTAATCCAGGCCTTCAGATGGCTAGTCTGGACCTTTGTTTGGCTAGTCCAGCCTTCAGCTGCTAGACCAGGCCTTCAGCTGGCTAATCCAGGCCTTCAGCTGGCTAGTTCAGGCCTTTGGCTATCTACTTTCCCTGCCTCTGCTGCTGTTGTTCTGCTAGGGAAGCAGTTTCTATCTGAAAACGCAATGGACAAAGCTGGGCAGCCAGCCCCATGGAGACTGAGCTGCACAGACCACACCCTGAAATCTGTTTTGTTGCAAAACACCAAATATTTGGCTTCAGTGAAAATAGTGCCAAGATAAATTCGGCCCACCAGGAAACAGGAACCCAATCACACAGCCGTGTATTGGTGGCAATTGCAGATGTTTGAGTTTCTTTCTGTGTATGATTAAAACATAGGATAATATTTGTCAGAGCTGAACAAATAGTGCATGCTGGCAGGAAATATGACCTTGTATTCGGTTCACTCCCAAAGAAAGTGCACAGTGACAGGACTTTCTTAACTATGGGGAGGGAATTAGCCCAACTAGCCCAGCCCAATACAAATCACCTATGTTCCTCAGAACAAGAAGTTCCCTGATATCCACTTCTACCTTCAAACCCTTTCTTGAAAATCTCATAGCTGTCTATGTTTCTACTATGTCTAAATTCTTGTCTTTGTATTCAAGGGTGTTCATAATCCTCACCACCTGGTTTGTCTTCCTTCAGTGTTTACAAGCCTTCAATGTGGTCAGAGGAAGTCTCCTTACTTTTTTTCCCCAGTACTTTCTGCCTTTAATCTTAGCACTTGGAGGCAGACACAGGTGGATCTCTGTGAGTTCTAGGTCAGCTTGGTCTACAGAACAAGTTCAAGTACAGCCAGGGCTCTGTAGAGAGACCTTGTCTCATAAATCAATCAACCAATCAATCAAAAACATTTTTCTAGTCTTACTAAAAGAAGTATGGTACTTTTAAATTTTTTAAATAATATCTTTTAATTCTGTGTATCTGCATACATGTCTGTGTGCAGGTTTGTGCACATGTCTGCAGGTCAGAAGAGAGTGTTGAATCCCCTGCAGCTAGAGCACAGGCAGTTGTAAGCACCCAACATTGGTGCTAGGAATGGAACTTAGGTCCTCTGCAAGAGCAGTATGTGCTCTTAATGTCAAGCCATTCCTCCAGCCGTGTGGCACTTTTGGCTGTTAAAATAGTCTATAGTGTAGCTTGGACCTGTTAGCTAAGAAAAGAGGTTTTGGTCTGTTAACAGAAAAGCATTCTGACAGACTAGAATAAAGAGCATTCTGCAAGATTCTGCCTTGACTATTTCCGGGGTGACTGGTAAAGAGCTTCCATGTCAGGAGGTATGGTCATCAGACCATGGATAATGAACATACAGGAGGAGTGGGATGTTCGTGGGGGGCGGTTCTCATCACCCTCTGAGCTCTCAAGAGCCTTGACAGCCCCTCCCTCAACGTCTGCCAGATAGTAATCTCAAACCCCACAGAATTCATCTCTCTACGGCCTGCCCTCACTTAGCCTGTGCCCTACTGTGCTCCTGTGTTGTCCTACTGTGTTTTTATAGCCTCAGTACATTCCTGATCCTCATGGAGCCTGGAAATGATTTTCTTTTTGCTTTTTAAATTTTTTGAAATAGTTTGATAGTTTATTTGATGCATTTATTTTGTACACTGTGTTGTGTCTCTTTGATTAAGAACAAGTGCTTAACAATTAGAATTATAGCTTCATAGGGAGCTCAAAACCAGTCTGGGATATACAAAACCCTGTTCAAAAAATAGAAAGAAAGAATGGAAGGAAGGAAGGAAGGAAGGGAGGGAGGGAGGGAGGGAGGGAGGGAGGGAGGAAGGAAGAGAAAGAAAGAGAGAGAGAGAGAGAGAGAGAGAGAGAGAGAGAGAGAGAGAGAAAGAAAGAAAGAAAGAAAGAGGGCTGGAGAAATGTCTCAGTGATTGAGAGCACTGACAGCTCTCCCAGAGGACACAGGGTTCAATTCCCAGCATCCACATGGCCTTTCAAAAGCCATATGGAAGTGCAGTTCTAGAAATCTAACTCTTCTGGCTTCTGTGGGGCACAGTCATACTCACAGGCAAGATACCCACATGCATAGAATAATAATAAATAAGTCTCAAAAAAAAACCTTAAAGAGAACAACAGAAAGCTAGAAATGGCCCTGATATACCAGATATATGCATCTATATCTATATCTATCAGAAGATATGAAGATATGTATAATGGAAATTATCAAAAGATGTGCTTTTCTGAAAGCCAAAAAAAAAAAAAAACCCAAAAGACTACAACCTAATACTAGTTAAGGATTTGTGATATGAGAACCCCTGACCCCTGAGGGTAGGGGAGGACTGTGACTAGGAAGGGAACGAAGCATAAAGATCCAGGAATTATGGCCTTGCCTGGGCAGGAAAGT